GTAATCTTAAAATGATGAATTTCGTGGTATGTGAAGTATAAAGACAATTTATTTTAAAATGCAGTGGAACAATTTCCCCACAAAAGTGATCTATTTTGATTGCATCTTAATAGAAAAACTGTCAAAAAATTCCATCAAGGGCTGGCCAAAGAGCTCAGCAGATTAAAGTACCTGCTTAGGCAGATGCAGGGGCCAGGGGTTCGACTGCCCCCACCCTCGCCCCCATCCCTCACCCCGTGCCTGCCATGCCGGCCCTGCCCCAGGGGCACGCTGAGACAGAGATTGGCACTGGGCGTGGTGGCGCGTGCTTGTAATCCCAGCACTTAGGAGGCTGTAAACAGGAGGACCGCTACAAGTCCAATCTACGTAGTAAGACCCTGTAGACCCCGTACTAAATACATTTTTAAAAACTGAAAAGAATTCCCTCAAACTGGGCGCACACCTGTGATCCTAGTACTCAGGACATTGAGGCACAAGGATCACAGGCTGCGCAACAATTTCAAATCAGCCTGGACTACATAAGGGGCCCTGTCTCCAAAAAAAAAAAAAAAAAAAGAACTACCAATACAATTAAAAAAACAAAAAGAAACGTGGAGGTGATTACAAATGATATAAAAAGGCAATATATTCATAACCCAAATAGCTTAATAAAAATGATAGTAGATACAAAAATACCAATAGAACAAATAGGGAAAAGCCATTTAATGACAATTCACATAAGACAAGAATGACCGTGAAAAAACGCTCCTCCACCAACATCTCAGGAGACGCTCATTATGCCGAGAGCTGTACCCATCAGGGAAAGAAAAATGTCCCAAAATGACCCCGGCTTCTCCTGCCCCGGTGAGGGGGCCAAAACTGGCACCACACCTCTGGAAGCAGCGGGCCCCGAGCCAGGGACAGCGCCGTTTCCTGAGGAGCAACGCAGCTGGCGGAGAAGAGCGGGCGCAGCAGGATCAGCACGACCGGCTCCCAGAGCTCCGAGGGGAACATGGAGCTGCGCCGGCTCCAGCTCAGCAGCAGGACCATAGTCCTCCTCATGGGAGCAGAGCGCCCAGGCCGGAGGACACAGACAGCAGACAGCTCCTGCAAGGCAGCGGGGTCACCACGCCACATGGGACAGCCCGGCCACTAAGATCTGTGTGTGGCTGCTCCACCGGCCCAGCTTGGGGGCACTAGCCTGGGTCAGCTCCGGTGCCCACCACTCAGGGTGGAGCTCAGCACTGCATGGAGAAGTAGCAGGCTCCCCAGGAAGGACCAGCACTTGCTTACAGTGCCCCGAGGACGTCCACGGCCCTTCCTCCTGCCCGTTCCTAGGTTTGCAAGAAGGAGACTGAGCAAGTGAGCAAGGTGACACGGGCCATGCAGAGGCCTGGCAGAGCAGCGCTTCTCTCTTTAGGGTGCTGTCCACGGTGCAGAGGGGGACAGAGACCAGAGGGGACATGGCAGGCACCAGGGTGCATGGTAGGGCCAAAGAATGCCATCCTGCTGTTCTGAGTGGCCAACTGACCCAGAACCCAGAGCCCAGGTGCCACCGAGGGACAAGACAGGAGGAGTTGGGGTCAGGTCATAGGGGGACAGCAGGACAAGGGCAGCAGGGAGGTGGGTGAGAAGAAACCAACAGGAGTCAGGGAGTCGGAGCACACGGTGCGGGCCAGAAACGCCCAGGATTTCCAGGGAGACACAGACTCTACACGCTGACTTTTTCAAAAGCCTCTAAAGTGGTATGAAAAGATTGAGAGTAACTAGAGTAAATAAAGAGTGTGGGATTCTGCAGCCATCTTTGTTCCTTTTCTCTCTGACTCTCTCCCGCTTCTCTGTTCTCCTCCTTCCTCCCTTCCTGTGAACAGACAGGGCCGCAGCTTAGGCCATGACGCCTCAGCCTGCCTGCTTCTGGGTCTCTAGTTGGCTGGCTTCCCTGTGACACAGAGCATGCCCAGCTTTCCTGGGCAAGCCTCCTCCATCCCCGTCTTCAGCTCTCCTCCACGCCGGCCGAGCTCATGTGACTGCCCTGGGGCGGGCAATGGCACCACCTGCAGCACGTGCAGACTTACCTGTGCCGTGCACCTTGCCGAATGCTGCTTGCACAGAAGACAGAGCCAGGCTGCGGCGGTGTGTGTGACTGTGCGGGTGCGTGTGTCCCTGCGTACGTGTGTGTGCATGTGTGTACATGTGTGTTGGGGAGGAGGATGCCAATAGTGCTCCCGGCTGCCTCAGGAATGCACTCAAAAGGGCAAGATGAATGACCTCCCTGGGTCCTGAAGTACAGCTGGGCTCTGCCCACTAGGAAAGAGCTTCCCTGGAGGACCACGCTGCGGGGTGACACACAAATACTCCCTGCATGGGTACTGGCTGGGCAAGGGAAGGGCTGGGCCAGGGCCACCCATGAGGCAGTATGGGGCTGCCACCTTTCTCCTCCAGACACCCTCCACCCCTCCAACGAGGCCGAGACCAAGAGGGGGGAGTGTGGCCCTGAGCGATTTCAGCTGGAGGAACTGGAAAATCGGGAGGGCCACAGGCCAGCGCTGAGCACAGAGGCACAGGCCCCACTGCATGTGGGGAAGGGAGCGGCACCTCCATGCTCCCTGGGCTGCCTGGAGCTCAGCCTCAGCAGGCACGAGCCCACCTTCTCTCAGGCCACCTTCCCTGAGCAGCCCTGGTGCACACCCTCACACTGTGAGCCCCACGGCCCCCTCACACCCACATCCCTTCCCAATATCACCCCCCTTCCGATCCCCACAGAAGCCCTTCTGGGCCACCGTCCTCATCCCTGGACCTCGCCCAGCATTTCTCTGCTCCATGGGCGGCACCAGTCACACCAGGACAAGGGCTGTGCTGGAGGCCCCCCTGGCCTAGCTCTGTCCACGCCAGATGGGCCAGTGTCCTCAGATGTCAACCTCCTCAGCACCCTCCTGCTGTCGTCCTGATGTCACAGTACAGGCCTGAGGGCATCAGGCTTCAGCCAGGACAGGAGAGCCCGGGAGGGGACACCTAGGGGTTCCACATGGAGACCGGTCTTTCTGAAGAGCCGCTGTACCCCGCAGAGCTCCCAGCTACAGAGTTCTAACGCCAGGATCTGGGCCAGATCGGAGGGAGAAAATGTTCAAGCAGTCACCCCAGAAAATGGTCCAGAGCTCCTGAGGAAACGGTGGAAGGGAGGTCCTGCTCTGGGAAGCAGAGGTCAGCAAACAAGGCGACTTCAAGGCATGCATAGTTGCTATGACACCCCAAAGTCAGAAGGGAGGCCTCTGGGCCATCTGGGTCCCTGGGCAGCAGCCGGGGAGGGTTTGCCACAGTCATGGTACACTGGGACTTCTGAGAAGGAGCGATAAACCCAACCCGTGAGTATCTAAAAGGCTCCTGCTGAAAGGCAGCGGCACAACGAACGCTCCCGCCGTCATGAGGGCTGACACGTCAGCCCCACTGGCCCCACTAGCTAACCTCGGCGACAAGCACAAAATCAAACAGAGGCAGCTGTCCTCCCTGTGTGGTGGCGTGTTTGTTTTCTGGACTTGTTTATGTCAGAACAAAGTCAGGGCGAACTTCAGAGATCCAAGTCACCATCTTCCCTGGCATAAAAAGCAAAACCTTCAGAAGTACCTTGATATAAGAACAACAACAACAAAGCCCAACCTAAGAGCCCAGGTAGAAAGCAGTCAGATGAGAGGAGCCCCAGGAGCCTCTCCCACTCTGAGCCACAGAAGAGACTGCAGCCCTGGAGCAAAAGGCAGGCATCAGGAAGAAAAGACCAGGCAGTCAGCCTCCAAGTCCTGAACATGTGCTGTCCGCGCTGCGTCTGAGCCTGCAGAGGCTCCAAGTTGTCCCCTCCACCACCGCACACGTCCCGGCCCTGACACCCGAGCCTGACCACACGGCCCTGGTGACTGGGGATAGCCGTCTCTCAAGTAACCCACAGTGCCTGGGTCCAGCATGCAAGACGCCTGCCCACCAATGACAAAGCCCTTGGGCTTCGGAGCACCTGTTCCTCTGGACTCAACGTTCAGTTTAACTTCGCGCATCACCTTCCCACCCGTGCGGAAGAAGGGGGCCCTGCAGAGTCGCACCTGCGAGGCCCCGCTGTCAGCCAGCTGCCCCCCACACACAGGAAGCCGCGCTGCACCTGTCCTGATCCACAGCCAGCCCCCACACACACCTGGACGCTGTCCCTATGCCCGGGGGACGTGGCCTCTGTGCCATCCCAGAGCAGCTCAGAGCTGTGCTCGGAAGAAAAGGAGCTGAAGGGCCCCTTGCACGCAACTCCAGCTCAGGGGAACCCACTTTGTTCTTAGAACAGAACAGGAGCAGAAATAGAAGAACAGGACTGGAGGGGGGAAGGAAGAGAGGGAAGAGCAAGATACAGAACTGGCTGGAGGTTCTGGGTTCGAAATCAGCTCAGCAGCTTAGCAGCAGCGTGTCAGGGGTGGCTACCTCCTGGGGTAGCTGTGCAAATGAAGAAGCAAAAGACAAAGACAAGTGTGTAAAGCTTGCTGTGCTCCCTGTCACACAGATGGTCACACTCTTAGGAGGAGAGGGTGGCAAGAAGATGTGCAGAAAAGAGCAGAAGGACCCATTCGAAGGACAGTCCGAACTCACTCAGGACAAATTCATGACCAATCCAGAAGTACGGCCCACCACACAATCACCCACCGCACAACCGATCTGCGCTCCATTCAGAAGTGCATTAGCTAGGCATGGGGGTGCACGCCTGTCGTCCCAGCACTTGGGCAGCTGAGGTGGGACAGCTGCAAAGAGTCTGAGGCCAGCACAGTGAGAAGGACCCTAGCCCACAAGACTGGAAGGAAGAGCAACCCGGAAAGTGTGTACAGAGCAAATGGTCCACGCGTGCGCGGTGGCCTCTGTCCCAGGGAGCCTTCGGCTGAACCAGGACACAGCTCAGCCCAGCACCTTCCACCTGGACTGGGGCCTCCAGCTCAGCCAGAGCACTGCCCCCAGGAGGACACCCTGTGCCTCCCCACCCCCGGTCGCGGTGCCCTGCCCACCTGGCCTGGTGGATGGCCTCCATCCACTCCTTCCCGTCCTGCTCCTCCTCACAGCGCAGCTCCAGGGGCTTCTGGCCTTCGTGGCCGAAGAGGACAGTGAAGTAGTACTGGGGAGAGAAACAGGCAGGGATTAGCGCCGTCTCCCCTGCCTTTCTCTCCCCC